CAGCGGACTTTTATGAAAAGATGAGAAAGATCTCGAACCTTTGTGAATGTTAGTCGGGGTCGGCAGAGGCCTGGAAAGGGAGTCTGCCTGGATTGTGAAGAAGGAATTCTTTTCTATCTCCCTTCCCTTTCTTTGTCCTTCCCCCTTCCCCGGCCTCCTTTTTGTTTCCATCTCCCTTTCCATCTACCCATCCTTCCGTTTCAGACTTCATGCCCATGATGCCTGTATCATATTATTTATGATTGAGTGTAAACACTGACTAACAGTGAGGGGTTTGTCTAGTCCTGTCCTGACTGGAGTTGGACACTTCAGGGTAGTCAGCCTGCATTGGGCCTGTTGCCTTGGCCTGACCATCTGGGCAAATGTGAAAGCTCTCTGTTCCTCAGCTTAGGTTTTTATGGCCTGCTGGCGTCATCGGCCATAAATCACAGTGGGCTGAGGTTTAAGCACTAAGGTTTGACAGGATTACTCTCAGGAAAAAGTAGAGCAGGTTTATTTTTTTATTTGAATTATAGGCACCAACCATATATATATATATATATATATATACACACATATATATGTATATATACATATACACATATATGTATATGTATCTTAAAACTTAATTTGGTGTGTAATTGGAACTAGCTCTTTGGAGCCCTGGGTTATGTGTTTTGGAGCAGCCTAGAAGAAGGGTCGCAGTGGGGCAGGACATGGTATGTTAATTGGTGGCCTCTGGGACCTGTGAGAGAATTGGATCTAAGTCCCCAGTTAGAAGGAGCTTGGCAGTTTTATTTGAGTCTCTGTGGGCACGTATGGGGGAGACCACCGCTTTGTACCAGCTCAAGCCTTTTCCTTACTTTTTGTTTTCATGCCATGGGCTCCCCCCCAGCCCAAGCCTACACCAGAGGCAGAGAAAGAGGTGCAGAGGAGCCCCCCATGAGGCTGACAGAATCCCACCAAGGCTGGCCTAGCCCTGGACCCTGATCTGAGGTAGTCACACACCATTCAGGCCTGCGGTCCCAAGGAGGGTTTTACGTTTTATTACCAAAGTCTCGATAAAAGGGACTTGGGTCAGAGTAACTATTCAGGGAGGAAAAACAAAGGAAATTAAATGCAAAATCATGGCTGGTGAAAACCACACAGAGGCCTTGGCTTTAATACCACCAGAGCCACGGGGGGAAGTAGGCCCCCAGGAGGTGGAACCAAAGGAGTGTTGGCTTGGTATTCCTGAAGCCTGGTCCCTCTCCTGTTTAAAATAGAAATTGCCATTTAATTTGTTTCTGAGTTTTATTTCTCAAGTGAACCAGCATGGGGCCATGTAATGAGGCTGTGTTTCTGGGAGGTGTTGAAAGATGGAGAGAGGAGGAAAACCACCAAGCAAGGGAACGAGCGAGCGAGCGGGCAAGCGAGCAGGGCTGGGTGTCCCCCAGCAGGGCCCAGGCCTTTCTCTATGAAGTTGAAAGGGCAGGCACTGGTGGTCAATGTCTCTTGCCCTTCCACGGGTGGGAGGGGCCATTGTGTGATCCGGTGGCAGGCAGGTCAACCAAGTGCCCTGTGGCCCAGAAAGGGGTCTGAGACAGGGAGAAGAGGAAGAGGAATTTTCCCAGAGAATGGACAAGGCCAGGCAAAGACTAGGATGATACATGGAAGCCTGGGGTCGGGGGGAGTTGTCTCTGAATTAGCTTAAGTAACAAACCTGACAGCTGACAGCCTTCGGGACTATAAGTGGTGCTCTAGTCTGGCTGCAGACAGCCATGTCTTTCTCCCATGGCAGGCCCACAGGCCCATGGGCATTCTGCTCTACCTGGAGATGAACAAGAAATCATGCTAATCTCCTCCTGAGAGATGCAGATTCTGGATCTATCATCTATCTGAGACAAGTATGTGATGATTCCCGGGACCCACCTTTGAGTCACTAGTGAATCAGTGGTCTCAGATGGAGCCCAGTAACTAGCTTTTTGCTTTCGCTCTAGAGCTTGTGATGTCAGCCATCCCCACAGTGGCCACACTGAGAAACTCTATCTTCACTGATCACATGTAAAGTATGTGCATGATGCTTGAGAGGAAGGTCCTAGTGAAACCCATTAAAAAGTTTGCAAGGGAGTTTAGAAAAGAGGAGGATTAGGGGACAGGATATGAGAAGGAATAATAGAGTGAACGTTATCAAAGTGCATAATAGATATTTGTATGGGAAAAACCCGTTTTACACAATTAATTAACAGTTTTACATGATAGAAATACTAAAACAAAATCATGCTGGATGCCAATGGCTCATATCTGTAATCCTAGTTATACAGGAGGCAGAGATCTAAGGATTGTGGTGCAAAACCAGCCTACACAGGCAAACCTGAGAGACTCTTCTCTCCAGTTAAACAGCAAAATGCCAGAAGTAGAAGCATAATTCAAGTGGTAGAGTGCCAGCCACGAAAGAAAAAAACCAAGTAAGAACATAAGGCTATGAGTTCAAATCCCAGTAGTAGCACACATGTTCATACAAAATCTGTGCAAAATTTGTATGCATGAATACACATGTTAGATGTGTGTGTATGTGCAAATGTGTCTTGTGTATGTGTGTTTGCAATTTCAAGAGACTTTAGACCATATTCTCTGTATGTTTCTATTTTCTTTCAATTTAAAAAAAAATAATGGGCATGTAGTGTTTGTATAAGCCGCAAAAATCTATCAGTGCTAGGCAAGAAGCATTGTAGAAGCATTAGTACTCTGTAGTATTTGCCCCCTAGGAAGTAGGTATGGGAGGCATGGTCATAGATACCTACAAGGCCACAAAAGGGAATGAATCTACTTACACTTGGAGCCAGTGGCCCTTTCTCTGTGGCCTCCAGGGTCTGAGGTGGCTGCTTGCAGAAGAGAGAAACCTCTCGCTTTTAAATAGTCTGTTGTTGGAAGGCCAAAGCAGGAAGTTGGGCAGGCCATGTGGAGCTGGAAGGCAGGGTCTCCCCTCCTGTCTACCTCTATTCTTGGGGTCCTGGATTTGGCTAACTCCTCAGCACCCCACCACCACCACCCCATCCCAGTACCGCTCCCCTCCCCCCGCCCTTTACCCAGTTTTCTTCCAGCCCTGCTGGCCAGGCAGAACAGCGATGGCGATTTTACTGCACTGTTAGAATTCTGTTATATTGCCCGTCGTGGGGTCCTGCAGCCACTTCATGAGAAGGCCAGACCCTTCCAGAGAAATGGTTTCCTACACCTTTACAATGTGATAGGAAAAAAAGGGCCGTTCGGTTTATGGAAACTATATAACATTTATGGAGTCTTGGCAGGCAGGAGTTGGAAGGTCTGCAGGGTAGGGGTGGGTATTTCAAATGGTGAAAGGCCCTGCAAGAGCAGCAGGCCTCTGTGGAGACCCCAGACAAACTCTCCAAGCCCGAGGTGACCCTGGGGGCTGGGGAAAGCCGCCTGGAGGGAGCAGCTGTGGGTAACCTCCTGTGGTCGCGGCAGTGTTTCTGTGAAGGGGCCTGGCTGTTCTCATGCTGTAAAGGGATACTGAGGCAAAAGTATTTCAACTGACCAAGGTCAATACAGTATGGCTCTGAAATGCCAGCCACACCTTCTCACAATCTCTCTCTCTCTCTCTCTCTCTCTCCCCCCTCCCCCCACCCCTGGTATATATTGAGTGTTGAGCTACACTTTTTAGTTTTAAGTGATGAGAAAGACCCTAGCCATTAGGGACTTGTCTGCTACTCGTGGCTGAGTCTCACCTTGCCTTGTAACCCTCAGCCATCCTCTCTTCTTTGCTGTGGGTTGGCCGGCTTTGCTGTCAGAGCTGACTTGCACACAGGTGTGCCCAGTGATCCAAGGGGAAGAGAAGGTAAGGCCCCCTGTGACTGGCTCTGAGCCAGGGTGGGCTCTCAGCACATGGTCTTTGTGTTCAGGAGCATCTCCTGTGGGTTCCTCTTAGGGCCTTGGAGGAGGATGCCACGGGGAGTGAAATCACCCCTCCCGTCCCTGTCATCGTTGGCATTTTGAATTCATTTCTTCTTGCATATGTGCCCTGTGACATCTATGTTTTCTCTCCCCTACTTGGCTGCTGGGCTGTGAATTCTTGGAGTGCAGATTCCATGAGTGCTTAATTCTTCACTGCTGATTTTGCCCACAGAGCCTGGCATAGTTCCCAGTATGTAGTAATCACTGCATAAATATTAACTGGGAGGGTGGCTGGCCGGCTGGGTAAATGGATAGGTGCATGGATGACAGATGGATGGATGGATGGACGGGTGTGTGGATGAGTGGATGGATGGGTTGGATCAATTAGATATGTATTGTATATATGGATAGGTGGATGGATGGTTGGTTGGCTGAGTAGATGGATGGTTGGTTGGGTAGATGGATGGGTGAATGAGTAAATGGATGAATGGGTAAATGGGTGGGTGGATGGATGGATGAAAGAATGGATAGGTGAGTGAATGGTTGAATGAATGGATGAGTAAGTAAATGGCATGGATAGTTGAGTGGATGGATGGAAGCATGGATGGATGGATGATGGATGAATAGACGGGCAAGTGGTAGATGGATCGGGTAGATGGGTGGATGAAGTATATTTAGACCAGCAGACACGCACCTCTGCATTTACACCCTGGAGTGCAGTTAAACTGGCAGCCTGGTCCAAGTTCTCAAAGACTTTTTCTAAATGCACTTCTGTTTCAGGGGCTCTACTTTGCTTTCCTTGAGGCCAGATGGAGAAACCAGGCTGCGTGCTTGAATGTGTGTGTAAATATTTTACAGTCCCCATAAACTTGTTTAAAGACGCGTGAGGGTGAATGTATAAACTTGGGCAGCCTTTGGGGAGGGCAATTTGGAAGTGGCTATTAAAATTTTAAATGTGCCCACCGCTAAGACCCAGCAGCTCCACTTCTAGCTGTCAAGGGCAAGAAATACATTCGTAGGTTTGAGCACAGAGAACCACGTGCCAGGATGCTGGTGTGGGACGCCCACTGCCTGGTGGCTTGTGACAGTGGGAAATCAGAAGTAGCCTTCATGTCACGGAGCAGGAGATCATGATGAAGCTGTGGGAAATGACAGTCATGGAGGGTGAGGTAGATCTATGTGGGTAGAGGGAAAGAGCTCAGCTGGTTCTTGGGACCGGACCCTCTCCAAGCTCCCAGAAGTCCCCAGGACTCAGACTCACCCACCTTAGCAATAGCCCCCTCTACCTGCCTCTCATTTCTGCCAACTTCCTTTCCTTTCTCCCACTCCGTCCCTGTGAAGCATGGTATTATACTAGAATTAGAACTTTAATCCTCCTGCCTACTTGCCAGTGACATTAGAAAAAAGGAGGAAAATAAGAGCAAAGCTGTTACATGTACACTTACTGTCTGCTGTTGAAAAGATTTTGAAAGAATTAAAATTTGATCTATGATGCCACTGTCTACCTAATAATGAGGCCAAGGGGAAAACGTGCCATGGTCGCTACAGAAAACCCTAGGCGCCCCCCCCTCCCCTTTTGTCTACTCTGGTAGTAAAATTGGCTCTAATTTAAAAAAAATATTGCTAAAGATGTGTGAAATGGTTTTAGGCATGTGGGGGTTGTCCAACCAGGGCTCTACTGTTCCATGCCACAGAGGCCACCACGGGTTTCTCTGTGCCAAGAACCACATGCTTGCCTGGTGAACCTCCATGGGCACTTTATCCGTATCCTTGAGGATACAGAGATGGCCCAGGCCATGGGGCGTGTGTGTGTGTGTGTGTGTGTGTGTGTGTGTGTGTGCGCACCTGTTCACAGAATTCAGAGAATTCCAGTTTGGCAGCATACTGACCCCTGTCCTTCAACCATCCTCATGGATTTGTGACTTGGGCAAGCGGAACATCTTCCTGTGCTCCTGATGCTCATTTAGAGAAGGGGACAAAGGCAACTTTAGCCCCAGGGACTCTATTGCACTTGGCATATGGGGTACACAGTTTCCTTTCTTAGCCTAGGCAGGTCGGATATCCATAAAACTGAGGGAATGCTGGGTGCCAGTGCTCATGCCTATAATTCTAGCTACTCAAGAGGCTGAGATCTGAGGATCAGGGTTTGAAGCGAGGCCAGGCAGAGAAGCCTGAGAGACTCAAAAGCCAGAGGTGGAGATGTGACTCAAGTGGGAGAGCACCAGCCTTGAGTGACAAAGCTCAGGGACAGTGCCCAGGCCCTGAGTTCAAGCCTCAAAACAAAACTGATAGGTAAGACTCAAAGCTGACCGAAGGCTGTCAGATTCTTTTCCCTCATGCTCTGAACATTCTAGCCCCCAATCATTGATCTCCCTAGCCTGCCTTCCCCCATCCCAGCTCCTACCCATCTCTACCATCAAGCTACTGAGAAACAACTAGCAGAGCTGCCCTCTGTGTCCCCCAGCCCCTGGCAATACTGTAGATTGAACTCAGGGCCTCACACTCGCTAGGCAGGCGATCTACCACTTGAGCCATGTCTCCAGCCCTTTTTCCAAGGTAAATTCTCACTTTATGCCCCACTAACATGGGCTGTGACCTACCTACTTGTGTTTCCCGGCAGCTGGGATGCCAGGTAGGTGTCACGATGCTCAGCCATTGATTAAGATAGAGTCTCTTGAACTTCTTTTTGCTGGAACTGGCCTTAAATTGTGATCCTCCCATCTCTGCCTCCCAAGTAACTAGGTTTAAGCTCTCACTCACAGCCCACCAGCGCTTCTCCGGAACTGTCTAGAATCATAGTCTAGAATAAGTGTCTAGAATAATTTGTTCTGAGGCTCTAAATTCATGGATCGCACAGAGGCTTGGGGCCTGGGCTGGGGGAAACTGGGTTAAGGATGGCACACAAGCCCCTGCCAGCCTCCCTTGGGGACGGGCAATGCACTTACACGGGAACCGCCCCCAGCCCCCCTGGGCTCCAGTCGCACCTTGTTCCATGTGGAATCTTCCTGGGTGGGGAGTGGCAGGATTTTCCTTTCTGCTAATGGCATTTCTTTGTTTTCAGTTGAGAGGGAGAATGTACAGAAGAGGACTTTTACTCGGTGGATAAATCTACATCTGGAAAAGGTAAGTGGCAGCCTGGTTGGGGTTGGTAAGAGATAAGACTCATCTGTCACTGGATGGCGGGAAGGAGACTGCAGCTCTGTGTTCTTTCTTCTCGTGTGTTCGTTGCATTCTTACTGCTGCTCTCACCTGATTGTGGAAAGCATGGAGCCCAACAGTCACCTGTCCTGGGGTTGCCAGGGGAACTCCTGTCTTTAGTAGGAATCCGTGAGCAGATGCTACAAGGCATTCCATGTTGAACAATGCCATGTTTCCATCCATAGGGCGCGCTCACCCATGCCTCCATCACTGCTGACCTTTCTGGGGGCTCTATGAAGAGCCATCTGTAGATATTTGCACTGATTGATGCTGGAACTATAGAATGTGCGTGTTGGGGGTGGGGGGAGGGCAAGGTTTGGTCCTGGGGCTTGAACTCAGGCCTTGGATGCTATCCCTAGGCTTCTTTTGCTCAAGGTGAGCACTCTACTCCTTGAGCTATTGTATCACTTCTGGCTTTTTCTGAATAGTTTATTGGAGATAAGAGGCTCTCACAGACTTTCCTGTCTGGGCTGGCTTCAAATCATGATCCTCAGATCTCAGCCTCCAGAGTAGCTAGGATTACAGGTGGGAGCCACCAGCACCTGGCTTATAGAAATTTTTTTTTAAACAAAGCCACATTCCCTTTTTATTCTGATCACATGGCTACTGATGAGAATGTTACCAGCCCCTCCAATGTGCTGTATCCCGCTCCACCCAGCCTGCTTAGCACCACGCATATGCACGGTCTCCTGAGTCCTTCCAACAGCCCAGATCCCCTCTTCTGTTAGAATGAGGAAGCAATGGCGCCCACAGGACGTAGACCTCCCTGCACTCTGTGGCTTTTCCTGTGTATTTAATTCTGTGGCCCTTCTCTCCCCCTGTTTATGTTCTTTCTTGCACCCATGCCTTTTTGGCTTGCCTCACATCTGTGAGGCGCTGAGGCACTCTCCCTACCAAAGTGTGCAACCGGCTTCGGAACAAAGCAGCAGCAGTCAGAGAAGGAGGAATCCACACCCTCTTACCCACAGGTTGGACCCCCGGGCCGCCCACAGTCCTGGGGTTGCAGGGGGAAACGCTACTATTCTCTTTGGGTACCAGTCCCTGCTGCAGGATGGGTGACGCAGTGCTGTCATTAGTTCCTGCGAGCACCCTTTGGTGGCACCCAGGGACCACTGTAAATCCATCCCAGTTGCTTTGATGTTGGCTGTATCTTCAGAATTGTTCATATGTGAAATATTACATGTTGGAAAAAAAGGAAACTGGTCCCCAAACCTGAGCGGTTCATGCACTCCTAAATGAATACCTGAGGTGCCTCTGAGCGGCGGGTGGTTCCTTGTGGACCCAGTAGAACCAGGACGTCTGTCTTTTTTTTTTTTTAATTGAGAAAAGAACAAAGGGTTGGGGAGCAAGTATCCCCCCCACCTTTGCCCACCACCCATGAACTGCATTCTTCCCTTCTCTGTTGGTGGAGCTCCTGGCCCTTTTTGGGGGAGCAAGGGGGGGGCAGGTGGGTAGCGCCTGCTCCCAGGATAAATCAGACAGCACCTGAAACCGATATGGAATAAAACGGCAAAATTAACAGCCGCGTTTCCAGCTCTGAGACTTTCAAGAGCAGCCTTTCATGAGAAGGAAACCCAGGAACTCCTTGGTGAATTGGGCTTAACTGCAATTTGAAGGTTGTCAGGAATATTTACTGAGCCTCTGGCTTCTGGAAAAATTCCCTAATTGACCAAAGGAGTTAGATCATGCAGAAAGCCCTAGGGGTGCTGTTGACTCGGTCATACCAATCGCCTGAAGTCCATGGAATATTCTGGGGGGCAGTGTTTGGGCTGGAGCTGTTTCAACCTTCCCTATCCCGCCGCCTCCCCGCCCCCCACCCCCCCCCCCCCCCCGGCCCCCGCCATTCCCGCAGGATGGACCCCAGCCAAAGCCTAGTTTGGAGCTGGCCGGGAGAGGCTCTTACAGGAACTGACAGTGGAAATTATTCTTCAGGTCTAACTGCGGAGTCAGGCTGGGCCCCGGTCAGGCTGGGGGCTGGAAATCTTGTTAGAACACTTCTCAGGGGCTGTTTCGTTCCGGCCTCTCGTTTTCTGTCTGGGATTAGCAGAAATAACATCTCTGTAAGAGCCTGGTAACCCGATGCCACCATGCCACAGGCCTGGACCAGGCCCAGGGAGCAGCAGGGTTTGCCAAGAAAATCATTTGCCCTTTGGTTCCAAGTCTCTGTTGTCCTTGAAGCAAAGCCCTTTTCTCTGAACCTGGGGGCCTACTCACCCTGGATTTGGACTAAGGGGAGTTCGGGGGCTTGTTTCAAGGGTAAGGAAATGCTCCCTTCCTTAATAAAATCAGACTCAGGCTCTCAGGGGGAAGGAAGAAGGCTTTCCCAGAGGAAACAACAGCTGGCCAAGGCCGGCACTGGGTTCTGAGACTTCCCCTCACCCCTGGGTCTCTGGCTGCTTAGGGCTGTGTCTGACCTGGAACACTGAGATGCAAGAATCCCGGCTCCTGTGTGAAGGCCTGCCTTCCGCTGGGCTCGGGGCAGGGCACGCCAGCCAGGCCCAGCTGCCACAGCCCAGCCCCCAAGCTGGAGGGAATTCCTCACTGAGATTCCAAGGCCCAGAGGTTGAACTGCAGTAAGCCTCAGCCGGGATGCATTCAGGACAGGGACTGTCAGCAAGCATGGTTAGTCAACAGAAGCTTAGGCACATTCAAGGCTGGAGATGGGGAACCTCACCAATGCCCAGACTGAGCCAAGAATAACAGATGCAGGTCCACTGTCACAAGGTGATTCGTATGAACTGGGTTCCCCTGGATGGCCTGATGCAAAGGGCTTCAGTTTCCCCAAATTGGATAGAAAGGCCTGGGCATCATCATTTCCTGTAGGTCTCAATAAAATTCCGCGGAGTTCTGTGGAGACACTCTATTTCCTCATAAAGCAGAAATATGGCTGTGGCCCACATGTATGAGATCTTGGGTTAGGAGGGTTCCCAAGGTCACATATTCGATCAGTTCTCTGTGCTTGGGTCTCTATGCACAATTGTCCTGCCACCCAGCGGGTTACCTCGGGGTGATGACTTCTGTCTCTTTGGATGGTCTTTCTGCATGTGGACCAAGCTGTCATCTGAATATTCTCTCTAGAGCTGAAACTTGCATCTTTGAAATGGTTTTGTGATGGTTGCCTCTTTCCTCCTGTTCCTACAGTGTGACCCACCTCTAGAAGTTACAGACCTATTTGTTGATATACAAGATGGCAAAATCCTAATGGCATTGTTAGAAGTCCTGTCTGGGCAAAATCTGGTATGTATATCACTGGAGGGTTAGGAAGAAAGGGGAAGGGAAGAATCACTGAGAGTTTCTCTTGTGTATAGAGAGGTTAGCTTCTGCCACTGTGACAGAAAACCTGAAGCCAACAAAGATCAAGGAGGAAAGGTTCATTTTTGACTCATAGTTTTTTTAGATGAGGATTTCAATCCATGATTGCTTAGCTATGTTGTTTGAGCCTGAGGTAAGGCAGGAGCAACGGATCAGTGGAGCAGCTCACTGAACAGCAACAAAGAAGCAAGAGAAGCTGGTGCTGGTGGCTCACACCTACAATCTTAGCCACTTAGAAGGCTGAGAGCCAAGGATCCAGGTTCGGATCCAACCAGATCAGCAAGGTCCATGAGACTTTTACCTCCAGTTAACCAGTGAAAAGCCAGAAGTGGAGCAGGAGTTCAAATGGTAGAGGGCTAATTCTCAGGAACAGTGCCCAAGTCTTGAGCTTAAGTCCCAGGATGAAAGGAAGGAAGGAAGAATGGAAGGAAAGAAGAATGGAAAGAAGGAAGGAAGGAGGAAACGAAAAAAGAAAGGAAGGAGAGAAAGAAAGAAAGGAGAAAGAAAGGAGAGAAAGAAAAGGCAGGAAGGAAGGAAAGGAAGGAGAGAGAAAGAAAGAGAGGAGAAAGAGAGGAGAAAAAGGAAGGAAGGAGAGAAAGAGAAAAGGAAGAGAAAGGAAAGAAGAGAAAGGAAAAAAGAAAAGAGAGAAGGAAGGAAAGAGAAAGGAAAGGAAAAGAAAAGGAAAGCGCAAGTAGGAAAGGTCAGCATTCTAGTCTCCCCCTCAAGGGCACGTCCCCAAAGGCCTAACTTCTTCCCCCAAGGCCTCACCTTCCAGTAACACCAGACAACCAAGCCCCTCCCCTCTGTTCCTCACGGAGATAACTGTCTATGGTGCCACTCCAGACAGCTTCTGCTGGGTAGCTCTCAAGCTCAGTGGCCATAGGACAGCTAGTGCACATTGCTCTAACTCAAGTGTTAGCTGCATGTTGCTGCACATGGAGGGAGGAGGGTGGGGAGGCTAACAAGCCAGGAGACACAAAAGATGGACAAAACCACCCCCTTTCCCTGTGGACCACTGGGGCTCACCCTTCCCCCAGCTCCTCCGAGCTAAGTCCAGGAACTAGGAGGCTGGCCTCTCTGAGGACTCTTGGTGCTAGAGCCGTGTGGCACAAGAGGCACGTGTTCTGGTTTGAATGCAGTCCAGGTGGGTTTTAGCCACAAGCCCCTGACTTTCTGCAGAAATGGAGGTAAAGAAAAATATCGACGACACCTGTGTTGCCCCTGGGCATTTGCAGGCACCACGTCTGCTCAGCCAATCTCGTTCTGCCTTCTTTTACAGCTGCACGAGTACAAATCCTCATCGCATCGTATTTTTCGTTTGAACAACATAGCGAAAGCGCTGAAGTTTTTGGAAGATAGCAATGTAAGTGTCCGAGGCCCATCTCGGTAACATGAGCTTGCCCTGTCACAAACTATATCGTCGTAACTGTCAGTGCCGGTCACAAGAAACGCTCAAGAGAGCACCCCACTGCACTGCCAGGCTAGACAAGCTTCAGCTCAATGGCATCTGTCCTCTGGGGGTACAGTGCGGCCGCCTGGCACCTGCCCACTTGCTAGAACTCTCCAGCAAAGGGCTGAACAGCTAGCTGACCCTCGGGTCCTTGAAATTTGTTGATCTTGTATGTTTTCCTCCTCTGATTCCTCTGAGTCCGAGTGTAGTGAGTTTGTCGGAGTGTGAAACTTTGTGTTAGAATTCAGTAAATGAGAAGCAAAGCAGCAGCAGTGGGAAAGAGGGCAGCATTCTCCCTGCTTGGCGACGACTTCCTGATGCTGATGTGGGTGTTCTGTGTTTGCAACTCGGCTTCCAGTCTGTGGGGAGGGGGTGAGATTCCAGGACCCCACTTCTGTTAGGTTTCAGGGGTCAATCTGGGTGGAGAGACGTCTTCAGCTTCCCTGATGAAATGCTCCCCTAATGTGCGAGTCACTTGAGGGGCCTCGTGGTCAGTGATAGGGGCTGACATTGCCTGATCTTTTAGCAGAAAAAGCATTTGTTAAGAACAATGGTTGGTACTCCAGGAATGACCTGGAAGCCTCGACAGAGCCCAGGGACAGCAGGGTCATCCGGTCTCTAGGACACACGGTGTGGGCCTGCGGCCCTGCTCCCTGTGAGGACCCCCCCCCAAGGGAGCAAGTCATCCTCTGTGTTGTCAATCCAACCTTACCTGTCCCCGCATGCTGTGGAATGTTATACAGCCATGAAAAGGAATGAGACACCGATGTGTGCTACATCATGGATAAGCCTTAAAAATTCTAGGCCAGGTGACCCGAGGGCAGACCCAGAAATGTGATTCAGGACAGAAAAATCTCTAGAAACAGAAAGTAGATAACGGTAGCTTGGGGCTGGGAAGCAAAGGGTCTGGGCTTCTTTTAGAAGTGATGAAAATGTAGTAGAATTGACTACTGACGCTCGCACGTGTCGGTGAGTTCACTCACAAACCCGTTTACTCTGGATGGAGAATCAAATGGAATGTGACTTAGCTCCCAGTGAAGCCCCTTAAAAAGCAAGTACATCCTCGATGTCTTCAGAGACACCCCCCCACACACACACACACATACACACTGTGAAGGCCGATACTGTGTCCGCCACACCACAACAGTGGTCCACTGAACCAGCCCCGGTCCTGGAGTGTGACTCCATTTCCAATCCTTGCCTCCCCATTCAATCCAAGGAACTGTGGGACAATGGCACAACTGTCCACAGAGAGGTAGCAGATGCAGTGCCCACCTGACAGAGCCACACAAAGCCAGGGGCTGCACATAGGGCCTCACCTCCAGGAAAGACAGTGCCCAGAGCTGGAGTGGGTGCCAGCAGACAGACCTTGCTGTTGCAGGTGGAGGCTGCCACTGGGAGCTACGCTGGCTGCTGCCCTCTCCCCCATAACTGTATGCCACAGAGACGGGGCTGCCCATCAGAATGGAAGCCTCTTAGAGCCTTGGTGTTCTCATCTGTGAAATGGGTGAACACTAAAGGAACTAACCCAGGAAAGCCGTGCGGAGTGCTCAGTGCTCCACAGAGAAGCCATTTTCCTGTCGGTCCTCTTGTTATCATCCTGCAGGTGACTGCTCAGAGGGGATGTGCCAACATTGCTCCCTTAGTTTTCAGTCTGGCAGGATTCTGAGGAAGGAGGCAGAAGACGCAGGGGAGCCTGGAGCTCTTGGTGGGAGGCACCGGCCGGCGGGCCCTCCCCCTCCTTCTTTCTTTGGGGATTGAATGCTTCCCTGCCTCCTTCGCAGGGTGACCCAGGATGTGTTCCTGTTCCGAGAGCTGCAGAGCAGGGCTGGGGCGGAGCTGTCAGTCCTGGGCCCCCAAACACACAGGGAAATCTCACATGTGATTTGTCATAGAGGCTGAGCACCCGTGAGGAATGTGGATGGAATATTGGACCTGAATTTGATCGGCCATGTTATTCACAGTATTGACAACTTCCTTCCTGGCCTCCGCTCTTGCCGGTGATGAGCCAGTGTTGTCTGAATTAGGTTCTTGGCACCAGCTCAAACTGACTTCGCCCAGAGAGTTCCACGTCTGCCTCAGTTAGGTTCACGGGAGCCTAACTGGTGTTGTCAGAAACTGACAGCCGATAGGATCAGAGGCCAGAGTCCAACGATTCAGAGAGAGCCGTGATGGAGAGGAGGGGGGAGGTGAAGGAGGAAGAAATCGCTTTGTGGGAAATAGCCTCTTCACTGCCCCCGCCCCCCCCCCCCCCCCCCCCCCGTCAGGCACCAGAAATGAGATCCCTCCCCTTCGCCTATTGCGTCGTCGTCAATTACAAACGAAAGGGAACGAGCGACTCCTCCCCCTCCCCCTCCCCCTCCGCAACACGTCGGCTGGCGGTCGAAACCCCGCCCCCCCCCCCCCCCCCCGCCATGGCCAAGGCCAAATGTTCCAGGGTGGAATTCCATGTCTGTTTTGGAGGACCTTCTCTTTCCTCTCCTCCCCCTGAAAACCGGGGTTTACACGTATAAAGTGTAGTTTGACAATGAGAAGAAAGTGTGTAGCAGGGCCATGTGGCCTGATGTGGCCTCTGGCCCTTTTCGGTCTCATTTGTAAGATACAGTTATGGTTTGGCCAGTGACCGCCCCCCCAACATCCCTGCACCCCAGCCAGCACCTGAATCCTTGTCTTTGGTAATATATAAGTATAGTGGCCATGTGATGGGCGTGCTGCTGGTCCAGGGGCCACAGGTGGATTCAAGAGCATGCTTCTGTGGGCAGAGAATAGTTCGATGAACTTCCAGGGGTCTCTACACTGGGCACATTGTAACCCGTTGGAGGATATTTTGTCACGACACCGTCTCTGGGATAGCCTTACCCCAACTCAGGGTTCTGATCAGCCATATGTTTCCCCTCCCACCGTCCATGGCCGCTGGGTCTTGGAGGTGCTAACCTTGGAGTTGGTTGGTGTTAGTGTAGCATGCAGACAGGCCTACCGGGCTGTCACCACAGCCTCTCCTTGGGTGACAGTGGCAGAAATCGTGGCACCGTGTGGTCCTCGGCACAAGTTGAAACCTCCCTGAATGTCCTCCACTGTAGGTGTGATGTGAGGATAAGCTGAGTCAGGGCTTGAGCACACTCTGTGTGTGGTGCATATGCGTGTGTGCACGGGTGTCCCTGAGAGGCGATGGTGGGCACGAGGTGAGCCGGACACGCAGGCTGGGGAGGTGGGGGGCCAGGCCGGGTGGCCCCCAGGCCTGCACGCTCAGCTCGCTTCTCCACAGGTGAGGCTGGTCAGCATTGATGCAGCGGAGATCGCCGACGGCAACCCCTCCCTGGTGCTCGGGCTCATATGGAACATCATCCTCTTCTTCCAGGTGAATTTTCCCCCTCCAGGGCACACAGTAAGGACCGTGGGTCAGGAGAGCCGGGCCACGGGCCAGGCTCCGGTGAGAGAGACCCGGGGCTGCCCTGCTGGCTTTCCTACCCGCTGAACGGGGATCTGCACACACAGCACTGGGGTCCGCTCTTCCATCGCCTCCTCACGGCACCAGATTTTCCCCCATGGGTCTCGTTCTGTCTGAGCCCTGAACTTTAAAACAACAAGGCTCTCCATCTGTCTCTCTGTCTGTCTCTGTCTGTGTGTCTTTCTGCTCCCTCTCAGTCTCATTCTGCGAGCCTATCTGTGAAATGGGAGCCGTGGATATAATAAAAAGTGATAGACAACAAAGCCATGTGAGCTAGGTCTGCGTCACACGGGGGCTGGGAAGGACCCTGGTGCTGGCAGGCAGGGAAGGATGCTGGGCGCATCCGGGAATGCATCCTCAATCACACACGTGCCTTCATTCACCTGAGAAATGTCTGCTGAATTTCTCCAATATGGCAGGCCCTGAACAGACCAAGCCCTGTCCTCTTGACCCTCTGGGACCACAGAGGCTCCACAGTGCAGGCTGGGATTGAGGTGTGAGCCAGGCCGCTAACACAGATGGGGTGGGGAGGGGGTGAGCAGAGTTGGGTTTTGCAGGATGAATAGGAGCTTCTCAACCCTACTGTGCAGTTAACTGGGAGGGGGTTGAGATGCAGATTCTGAGTGAATGGAGGCCCCAGGGCAGGGCCTGGGCTTCTGCATTTTTCATCAGCATCCGGCCGTATAGGTGGAGAAATGGGTAGAGGAGTTGGGTCAGGGAGAGCTGCAGAATGCCCACGTGGCACCAGGCAGGGGTTCTCTGGGCTCAGAGGATGGTTCTCCTGACATGGTCATGTGACTGTGCATGCGCACACATGCCTTGGGCTTGAACTCAGGGCCTGAGTGCTTTCGATTTGCTTTTTCACTCAAGTCTAGCACTCTACCACATGAGCCACAGCTCCTCTTGTGGCTTTTTGTTGCTTAATTGGAGAGAAGAGTCTCACAGACTTTCCTGCCTGGGCTGGCCTCAGATAAAAATCCTCAGATCTCAGCCTCCCGAGTCACTAGGATTACAGACGTGAGCTCGAAGGCCCGGCTCTGTTTCTGGGATCTGAAGCTCCATTCTCCTTCCAGATCAAGGAGCTCACGGGCAACCTCAGCAGAAGCTCCCCATCTTCCAGCCTGTCACCCGGCTCGGCGGGCACAGATTCAGACTCCTCCTATCCACCCACCCCCACCACCGAGAGGAATGCGGCACTATCGGTGAAAGATCAGAGGAAGGCCATCAAGACCCTGCTGGCATGGGTGCAGAGGAAGACCAGGAAGTAAGTGCAGGCCTGGCGTGGTGTGTGGTTTGCAGGGATGGGGGATGGGAGGGAAGGGACCACCTGCCCACATGCCCAATGCTACGTGGAGATGATCAGAGGCCAGATGCAGGTCCCTCACAGTCTTTGCGGCCAGATGGCATATTCCTAGTGGAGACTTTGTTGGCAGGAAGCTGGTGAGAGATGAACAGGAGCCAGGGGGCTCTGTTGGGTGTACCTTTCCATAGACCCCACATGCTACAAGTGTGTGCACATTGATAACTAGACCTCAGAGTCTTTCACAATCTGCACCTTTCAAATAGTAATCAAGGTGCTGGCTGCCGGTGGCTCACTCCTGTACTCCAAGCTATTCAGGAGGCTGAGATCTAAGGGTTGCAATTTGAGGCTAGCCAAGGTAGCAAAGTCTGTAAGACTTTTGTCTCTAATTAACCACCAAAAAAAACCTGGAAGTAGATTTGTGGCTCAAGTGGTAGAGCACCAGCCTTGAGTGAAAGGGTAAGGGAAAACACTCTGGCCCTGAGTTCAAGCCACAGGACCGACGTACACAAAATAATATGTCGTAATCAAGGCTGTCCCAGTCTCAGCTCTGAGTCCTGTCCCCTTGTGCATCAGTGCCAGTCACCGAGGGCAAGCTTCGGCAATCTTGCCAGGCCATTCACCGGCCCCTGCAACGTTTTGGTACTCTGATGGGATTTTGAAATAAAAAGTTGTCTGGGGTTTTTATTTTGAAAGGTCAACTATGATGACAGTTGAGAAAATGGGACTCTTGTGGGGTCAGGACTTGGGCCTGGTGGAATTCTCCCTCTTTGTCCCTTTCTATCAGACTTATAACCCTTAGCTGGGTGCCGGTGGCTCACGCCTGTAATCCTAGCTACTCAGAAAACTGAGATCTGAGAATCATAGTTCAAAGCCAGCCCAGGCGGGGAAGTCTATGAGACTCTTATCTCCAATTAGCCACCAAAAACTGGGAGTGGAGCTGTGGCTCAGAGTGGTGTAGTGCTAGCCTTGTACAAAAGAGCTCAAGCCGGGCACTGGTGACTCACGCCTGTCATCCTAGGTACTCAGGAGGCTGAGACCTGAGGATTGTGGTTCAAAGCCAGCCTGAGCAGGAAAGGCTGTGAGACTCTTATCTCCAATAAACCACTCAGTAAACCAGAAGTGGTGCTGCGGCTCAAGTGGTAGAGCGCTAGCCTTGAGCTGAAGAGCTGAGGGACAGCGCCCAGGCCCAGAGTTCAAGCCCTATGACCAACCCCCCCCCAAAAAAAATGATTAGAGACAGCATCCAGGCCCTGAGTTTAAGTTGCACGACAGAAAAAAGAGAAAATTATAACCTTGTTTCATGCATACCAAGAGTGGCTGTCTCTGAGCAATTGATTTCTGGGTGCCGCTTGCCTTGTATGTTGGGTTGACAGTAAAACAGCCATTCTGGTGGGGACCAGCAAGATGCCCATGTGGTAATCTGTATCTTAACAGCTGAAGGGTTGAAGCTCAGAGAGGGTGTGTGGTCTGCCTGAGGCCCGGGTGGCAGAACACAGAGGAGGCAGGTGAGGCCATCCTGGCCTCGCTTTCCACACATCCCTGCAGGTGAACCCAGTGTTCAGCTGGGCCTCTATAAACCTGGGATGTATGCCTCCTGACCCCTTCATCCGGAAGTGTGACCATTCACCCGGAAGTGGAAATGTGACCATTCATTGGAGCACAGCGCTTGGGGCGTCTTCTCTGGCCAGGGTGCCCAGCCCCCTGCGGTCCCCAGCCACCCCCACCCCCCCACCCCACGCTGACCTCCCGTCTGGAGTGCCTGGCTTCCTCAAGCTCACGTGGCTGCTGTCTGTTTGTTTCCCTCAGGTACGGCGTGGCGGTGCAGGACTTTGCTGGTAGCTGGAGAAGCGGGCTGGCTTTCCTAGCTGTGATCAAGGCCATCGACCCCAGCCTGGTGGACATGAAGCAGGCCCTGGAGGATCCCATGCGGGAAAATCTTGAGAAGGCATTCAGCATCGCCCATGATGCCCTGCACATCCCCAGGCTCCTGGAGCCGGAAGGTGAGCTGACTCCCCTCTCCCTGTCTTTTCTTTCATGATAAATGGGTCACCTTCCATTTCAGGTAGAAATTTAGAAATCAGAAAAAAAAAAAGTAATGAAGCGAGTTTTCTATCGTCTATATCCCTGTGCATCCAGTTACAACCTTTGTACAGAGTTAGCATCATCCTGTGTATGTATAACGTACACCACATTTTTACTGAACACATAAGGGCTTTACACCGCAATGATATCCTCGCTATATATTTTTCTTGGCTGTGTAATAGTCCATCTGGTAGGATGGACTGAGAGTTACTCAGCTGTTCCATACTGGCATCCTCGAGCTTGTTTTAGAAGCGATTGCTTCTGTCTACAGCCACGCGGTGGGCGTCTCACTGAGCAGGGGCAGCGCATGTCAGAGTGACAGCCTCTGCGAGGCTGGCCCCCCGGCGCCTGGCCCATTGCTTTCCGCGTGCGTCTGTCCAGCTAGTCTGGGGTAGGATGGGGTGTGGGGCCTTCTAGACACACTGCGGGAGCCAGCAGGACCTGACTGTCCATAATGGGAGAGATTAGGACATGGGGAAGGACGGATGGGATCCTGGGGAGGAGGAAACCTAGATTCTCCACCTTGGGGTTTGGTTCCCCAGACCTCAAGGGCTCTTAGAGCCTAAATTTCCTCAAGTAGGAACGAAGAAGGAGACCCTCTCAGCAGTGTGGGGCTCCTTCACGTCACCACCCTGCGTCCCTGTTGAGGAATTGTGTGTCCCGTGGCCTGCTAACTCCCCTATCTCTCCACAGACGTCATGGTCGACACGCCGGACGAGCAGTCTGTGGTGACTTATGTGGCCCAGTTCCTAGAGCGCTTTCCGGAGCTGGAACCCGTATGTTTGCCTTTTCTTACCTTCCACTCACAAACTGGCCAGCCTCCGGACATGGCGGGGCTCGGGCTGGACCCCCGGGTGGACGGCAGGGGCCATCACAAGCTGACCTCGCGCCTTGCCTTGCCCCATTAGAATGTCTGGAGCCGCATAGACATGGAGCCGCATCTGACATGGCTGTTGGCTTCTTGATTCTTTAGTTAGCCAATGGAACAATTTTACCAACCCGCCGGATTCCATCAGTGGCCGTGTGAAGCTTGCTTTCGGTGTTAGAATCGCAGGCTCTTGTTGGGGCAGAGTGGAAGGGACCAGACCTCTTAGAACTTGCCCTGGCACCGGCACACACACCTGTGCTCAGCCCCCGGATGGCAGTGATGCAGGGATCCAGGATGGGCTAGTCCTGCCTTCTCAGGTGGTTTAACCCAAGCCAACCAGACAGAAAGAGAGGCAAAGAATCTCTGGCTGAGAATCTCTCTTCTGTCAAGGACACAGAGTACTTGATTTTGCATCCACAGTTTGTTGTTGTTGTTGTTGTTTTTGCCAGTCATGGGGTCTGAACTCTGGGCCTGGGCTCTGTCCCTCAGCTCTTCAGCTCAAGGCTAGCGCTCTACCACTTGAGCCACAGCACCACTTCTGACTTTTTCTGCTTATGTGGTGCTGAGGAATTGAACCCAGGGCCTCGTTCATGTGAGACAATCACTTTACTGCTGAGCTACCTTCCCAGCCCCACATCTACAGTTTTTTTTGGGGGGGGGGGAACCCAACTTAGTGTTTTGTATTATGTATCTGGTATTTTTGTATCGCTGCAGGAATGTAAAACTTTCATAATCATTTCCTAAGTGGAATACTGTGGGGTTTTGGGGGTTTTTTTGGTCATGGGTCTTGAACTCTGGGCTTGGACGCTGTCCCTCAGCTCTTCAGCTCAGGGCTAGCGCTCTACCACTTGAGCCACAGCGCCACTTCCAGTTTTAAGGTAGTTTATTGGAGATGAGTCTCATAGACATTCCTGACTGGGCTGGCTTTGAACCATAGTCCTCAGATCTCAGCTTCCTGAGTAGCTAGAATTACAGGTGTGAGCCCCCAGCGCCCAGCTATGTGTTTGTTTTTAAGTGGCCTTTGTGTGTAGTTTTCTTTTGCTATTTTGGTGGTGCTGGGGTTTGAACTCATTGCTTCACACACACTAGGGAGTTACTCTTTCATTCTACTACTTCATCCATGCCCCCAGCCCTTTGTTTACAGTTATTTATTTAAGAAAGGGTGTCTTTTTGTCAGAGGCTGGCCTTGGATCTTGTTCCTTCTATCCCTCTTCCTAAGTATCTGGCGATTACAGTTGTGTTCTACCACTCTCAGCTTATTCTTTGAGACTGGGTCTTCTTAGCTCCCCAGCCTGGGTTCACCGTGAACCTCGATCCTTCTGTCTCTACCTCCCCAGCAGCCAGGATTACAGGAGCGAGCTGCTACCCCTCCCTCTTGTGTGAGTTTTGATCAGGGAATGTATTCAGTGGCTGTACCTGTTATTTTCTGGTGTCTTGTGTTTTTCAACAGGAAGATTTTGTGGATCCCGATAGAGAAGCTCCCATTGAGTCCACCTTTGTCCGCATCAAAGAGACCCCTTCTGAACAGGAGAGCAGAATCCTCCTCCTGCCTGAGAATGGCGAGCGTGCGTGCACCGTCAACCACGAGTCTAGCCACCCACCACCTGCTAAAGTGTTTGTCTGCGAGCAGCCTGAGAGTGGGAAGGGCTTCAGCCTGGGCACCGTGTCCCACCCGGCCCATGCCGACAGCAACAACGAGTTCATGCACCAGATCATTGACCAAGTCCTCCAGGATGTCCCGGGGCGGGTAGATCCCATCAACGAGCCAGCGCCAGATTCCTCCATCCTGTCCACCAGGAAGGAGAGCCGGAGAGCCACCTCCTTGCCCATCAAGAAGAGTGTCCACTTCGAGGCTGACACTTACAAGGACGCGTCCTGCAGCAACTACAACCCAGACCTCCGCTTTGAAGGGAGCCGGAGAGCCACCAAAGAGCTGCTGAAACCAGATGGGCATGTCTGCTCCGTTGGGCTGACCCAGGAGAAAAAGCCAGACCCCGAAGCCAGTCCGATCCTGGAGGCCCCCTGTGACAAAGCCCCCGGGGATGCGGCCCGGCCAGATGCCCCGACCCCTCCGGCTTCAGCTCCCCAGGGCTCCCCATTTTGTAACGGCACCTTAGAAAGCCCACCCAGCTATGGTGAAGAAACGTCTCATCCACCCCTTGATGTGATCATGGCCGAGTCGTTAGAGATCAAGGTGAAGCTGTTGACGGTAGAGGCTATGAACAAGGACGATTACTTTGAAGGCATTCCGTTAAAGGCTTCGAAATTTAACAGCGACCTGGTGGACTTTGCTTCTACCAGCCAGGCTTTCGGTGAGCTTCCTTCACCCCAGGACAAGACACCTGGCGAGAGAGAGGAGGAAGAGGAGGAGGAAGGGACTGACAGTTATGCTGAAAAGCTGAGGAAGAGGAGAGCCAAATCTGCCCGCATCAAGTTCGAGTCACCAGCACCCCAGGAAGACAGCCATGAGGGTGAACCCCCCGAGAACCCCGGCCTGGAAGCTCAGGACCACCATGGCGCAGCTCCAGATCAGGCCCCCGCAGATAAAAAGCCAGAGGTGTTTGAAAAGGCCAAGAAGAAGTCCACGCGGCGTGGGAGTGAGGACGACGCGGAAGCCGAAGCCCTTGTGGGAATCAGCGCAGAATTGCTTTCCAATCCCCCGAGTGCCAACATCAGCCTGGAGACCCTCAGGAGCCACAGCGAAGAAGGCCTGGATTTCAAGCCCTCCCCACCGCTCTCGAAGATCTCCGTCATTCCTCACGATCTCTTCTATTACCCGCACTACGAGGTACCCCTCGCGGCTGTGCTGGAAGCATATGTGGAAGGTGCGGAGGAGCTGAAGAACGAAGACGATGTAGATCTGGATGAGCCCGAAGGGTTTCTCCATGGCCTGGACTCCAGGGAGGAGGCCTACAGCTCCCAGAGCAGCTGCAGCTTCTCATCGCCTGATGAGGGCCACCCTAGCGCCAGCCGCCTCGCACCCTGCGTCACCGGGGCTGCTACCGGGGCTGCTACCGGGGCCACCACTGGGGCCACCACTGGGGCCACCCCACCCACTCCCCAAGCTCCCCACAAAGAGACCAAAGAGAGTGGCCCTGAGGACAGCCAGCAGGTACTTGATGGTGGGGTTCAAGAATCCTGGGTTGGGGCTGGGAAGGTGGTTCAGTGGTAGAGTGCTTGCCTTGCATGCCTGAGGCCCTGGGTTTGATTCCTCAGCACCACATAAAGAAAAAAAAGCTGGAAGTGGCGCTGTGGCTCAAGTGGTAGAGCGTTAACCTTGAGCTGAAGAGCTGAGGGACAGCGCCCAGGCCCAGAGTTCAGGCCCCACGACCGGACCCCAAAAAAAAAAAAAGAATTCTAGGTTGCTGGGTACTAGTGATTCACACCTGTAATCCTAGCTACTCAGGAGGCTGAGATCTGAGGATCATGGTTTGAAGCCAGCCCAGAAAGAAAAGTCCATGAGATTCTTATCTCCCATTAACCACCTAGAAGCCAGAAGTAGTGGAGGTATGGCTCAAGTGGTAGAGCACTGGCCTTGAGCGAAAAATCCAGGCAAGAGTATGAGGCCTCTCTCTGTCTCTCTCTCTGTCTCTGTCTCTCTCTCTCCTTTCTCTCTCTCCCAGGGAAATCCCTCTTGATAAGACAGGGGTGAAGGGCTGGGAAGGTGGCTCAGTGGTAGAGTGCTTGCCTAGCATGCATGAAGCCCTGGGTTTGATTCCTCAGTACCACACACACAGAAAAAAGCCGGATGTGGTGTTGTAGCTCAAGTGGTAGAGTGCTAGTCTTGAGCAAAAGAAGTTGAGGGACAGCGCCCAGGCCCTGAGTTCCAAGACCCAGGACTGGCAAAAAAAAAAAAAAGACAGAGGTGAGAAAAAGCTTTCCTCTCAGGCACCCCAAAACCCAGACTTCAGATGCCCTTTATGAGACACAGGTAACGCAGGGTGGGCTCTCAAAATAGAGCTCCTCCTGCAATGTGGCCAGATGCGTCCCAGGCCCTACCTACCACAAGATGTAGCCTGTGCGGGTTGGCCAGGCACGGGAATGGTGGCGACAGCCAGCAACCTCTGGTGACAGTGGCACCAGCTCACTGGCCGCAGTAATTCTGCAAGGCTTTTGTCATGTTCCACATTTCATCCTATGGCATCCAATGGCTGTGCAAACACAAGGGGCCACTCACTGCGAGCTTGAGCTGCTGGATACACACTTGTCTGCTACTTGTTTGCCCACTCCATCTATGGGGCCAGCAGTTCAAGAGGGATTGGAGAGACGCATGAGGGAGTCAGGTGTGCAGGGCCCCAGAGACCAGCCTGGTGCCTGGCAGGGCCGCATAGTCCTCCTGCCCACGGTGGGTGCAGGGTGAAGCCAGGAGGGAAACAGAGAGATAAATGGCTCAGGCTTCTGCATCCCAGGTGGAGCAGGGAGACACAGGAAGGCAAACTCTCCATTGCTGCAGAAAAAAGGGGGTTCAAGGGTCCTTAAGAGCCACTTAAGATTTAGTTGGAAAACCACCACAAAGGAGGTGGCTTTTGTGTGTGTGTGTGTGCTCGTTCAGGACTGCATGGTGGGAGGGGCAGGATTCTCAGGTGGAGAGGCGGGAATGGCGGCTGAGGGGGCAGGGCGGGAGGGGCACAGCCACCATCTGTGGGGCAGAGAAAAGAGGGTTGGTAGTCCCACAGATCCTAGGGGTCTACCTGTCACCCCCACCACACACACACATATACATGCACGCGCGCGCGCGCACACACACACACACACACACACACACACACATTGTAGACTGACTTATCAGAAGCCAGGCCTGCCACACTGGTACTTCCCAAAGGAGGCCCTCTGCCAGCATGGTTGGAAGGGGCCTTTGGTGAGATCAGGCCTTGCTGTCTCCAAGGTGGAGGCTGAGGACAACTGGGGTGATTGTCAAGGTTGTTCTCGGCCACTTACCTGTGTGTGCCACCTTTGAACCCCTTAGGCTTCTCGGATTCCCACCGCCCCCCACCACCACAGGTAGAGCACTGGAGGGACACCCTGTTTGGGATGTCGTAGGAAAAGGGCCAGAAATGGTTGTATCCATTTGTCAAGCAAGGACATTGAAGGTCAGCTGCTCAGGGGCCCATAGCTGAGTCAGTCTGGAGTTGAAACCAGAGCTTCCTGACTCTAAAGCCTGCCTTCTTCTGTGGCCTCTGAGTTCTTCACAGTGGGGGTGGGGGTCATCGGGGTGAGCTGTGCTGGAGTCCGTGAGCCGCCCTAGCTAGGCTGTGGTTGGAGCTCTGCTGGGCTCTGTGGCCTCTGCCAGCAGGACATTTGACTTTTCTTTGTCTGTTTTTGTCTTCTAGACCCAAGACTCCACCAAGTCTGAAAACATAGCGAACCCATTAGAAACGAAAGTAGCGGGCGAGTCAACCAGCAGTAAAAAGAAAGAGAAAAGAAAGCATGTGGACCATGTAGAAACCTCCTTCTTTGTAGCGCCTGGGACTGTTCGGTCCTCGGAAGACCTCGAAGATGACTCTGGAGACCACAGAGTCCCTTCCAGGTAGGGGATCGCGACAGTGGCTTTCGCCCTGGAGGTGGTGCCAGAGTAGCTCTGACCTTGGCCCTGCTGCACTTTCTGATGTGGTCAGAGTGGGGGGGGGGAGTGGAGGGGAGCGGGATGACAAGAGTCATATGTGTCCTCATTCTCTGATGTCACAGTCACCTGACCAAACCTGGAAGGATCTGGAACTTGCCTCTCCCCCCACCCCCGCCCCCCCATCTCCCCCTGTGGGCTGGTGGGTGGGAGCCCGCAGGGAGCACCAGATGGCAGACCTAGATGGAAGCAGGTGGGAAAGGGAGATTGGTAGACTTGCACTCAGCCCCCTGGCTCCAGAGCACTGTGGATTGAGCCAGGAGGAGGCAGGCGTGGTGGTCAGTGAGCGCCTCGCTGACTTTGAGCGAAGGTATGACTCTCATCCCTGGAGATAGGTGTGACGCGGAAACTGGACCTGGCTCCCAGGAGGGGGGGGCATGGGTTTGTTTGGAAGTCTGTAGCTCATGCCATGTGGGCTACTCCAAACCCACCAAAGGAGCCACCTGTGTCATGGGGAAAGTAGGGAGCCACTGAGTGTCCAAGACCCTGGTGGCCCCATCCTCACGAATCCTCCAGTAACCACCCTTCACCATTTTCTCACCCAAGTCCATGCTCACCCCAGGGGCACGGAGCTGGCACTCTGCCTCATGATGGCTGATGGGAGGGTCGGGGGCCCAGGCCACGGCCTCAAGTTCTCCCAGCTCAGGACATGCAGTGCAGAGTCTCACACTCAGGTCTGGCTGACTCCACAGTCTCCATTCTTTCTCTGGCCCCTCTTGGCCTACAGAGGACTACACTGGTCACAAAGAGAAATGGCTGAGGTGTGTCGTGAGAGTAGGCAGAGAGGCTCCAGGTAGAAAGAGGCAGAGGAAGCGTGAGCAGAGTCCCAGCGTCTGTCTCTTCTCTGTCTTCTCTGCCTAGGCTTTGGGGGGGGGGTCCCCACTGTGGAAATTGGTTGCAGCTTTGGCCTTGACTCCTGGTACCCTGGGGAGGAGCCACAGTCACATGCTCGGTTCTACCTAAGCAAGCCCCTCCCTGGGTGATGATCAACTCAACTCTGAGGTCTTGGTGCAGAGCAACTCCTCCTCCCTGTCTGGCTACAGGCAGTGTGACAAGGTGTCTGAAGGCGGGGTGCCTCAACACTGGGGAGGTTGCAGGCAGCTTGGAGGTGTGCTCATTAATGCCAAGAAGCCATCCTGGGCCCTCTGGGTGTCTACTCATCCCGCCTGCCAGCCATGGACGCTTCCCCTCCCAATCCCACCTCCCCTCTTGGCTCCCGCCTTTTGGGAGGCTCCAGGAGCCCATGTGCTTTCTGCCCCCCCTGGGCCTCTCCTTCCTGCCTGCCCGAGCCAGGTACCCCGGCCTCCGCTGAGGGTCAGGAAACTCCACCTGTGCACTGCTCCAGGCTCCTTCACACTTGAGGGCGATTCTCCAACTGGAACACTGTCCCCTGGCTCAGTCCTTCTCAGTCTTTGGTGTCAGCTCCACTGCCCATTCCTCCAGGCAGGCGTCTGGGATCTCCCAAGGCTGTTTGAGCCCTCTTTCTATAGCTGGTATATCCATCCTACACTCTCTTCTGTGCCTCCTTACCACCTCTCACAGCCGTCATTCCTGTAATCATTTGTGTATGGACCTGCCTTGTGTATCACCTGCCTTACCCCGGCTGAACCAATCCTGTGAAGTCAGGGTCTGCATGGAGGGCTCTCCAACATAGCCCAGCCTTTAGCACAGCCCTGGCTGGCAGCTGGCATTCAGTGGCTATTCTCTGGGTAGAGGAATGCAGGAAGGAATGAATGCATGATGGCAGGAGATGGGCCTGGGCACCTCGCCTGGTTCCTGACACACAGGAGACTCTTTATAGTCAAGATGAATACACAGCCAGACTCATGCTAAAAGAACCAAATTTCCTGTGGAGGACAGAGAGGGAAGAGCAGGGTCCCTGCCCAGCGGGAAGCGCTGCTTTGTTAGGAAACATCACAGAAGTGTGGGGAGAAGGTGAACTCCTTTAAGGCACCGTCTCTTGGGGACAGTGTTGCTTCAAGTAGATGCTGTGATTGCAGCTAGGAGCAATCAGCATATTTTGGGATTGAAGAAGATCAAATCCTGGGAATAGATGTTTGGTCAAACCCAGACCCCAGGAAGCACATACTGGGAGTTAAAAATCCATCCAGAATCCAGTGCTTTCATGTAGATGAGGGCCCACTTCATCTCCAGGTGCAGTCCAACAAAGTGGGACACATCGGGTGCAAGTTTCTGGGTCTGATGTCAGTGGCTCAACTCAGTGTAGTTGTGGAAGGTAACTGCATCATGGAGCCTCGAGGAAGCCCTGGCTGGTACTAACAGGATGTGTATCTTTGTCTTTCAGGACTAGCCACAGTGATTCCAGCATTTACATTCGGCGGCACAGTAATAGGTCTTTGGAAACGGTTAGTATGTGAATTTCTCCTCCTTTTTGGGCCCTGCTAATCAGTGCCTTTCCATCCTTCCTCCTCCCCAGCCTAGAGCTGAAGTGCAGCACCTGTACTTTTGGATAGAAGACAAACACATTGAAACCTTGTCATTAAGTTCAGTCCACTTGGATATCCCAGTTTCGGGCAATAAGGGATGTAAATAAAGTGTTGATTTTAAAGCCCCAAAGCCTCTTCATTATATAAATGAGCGCAAGACACCTCCCTCTACCCCCACACTTGTGTCTAGACGGACTGCATTGAGAGGGTCCTCTTGACAGTTACAAGTGTCTAGGCCCCAGATGTGTGCTTGGGAACCGCTGGCATGCCAGCACTGGTCAGGGCTTGGTGGGGGGTGGGGGTGGGCCTGTCCCAATCACCAGTGGGTAGGAGGGTGGTGAATGTCACTTGTTTAGTGTTTTAATTTTGGAACTAGCTGTTTACAGTATCAAGAAAAGCATGGCATGTTCGGCTTTGTGTGTTTAAAATCATCTTGTTTTCTGTTTCAGAGATTTCATCTTTACTAATTGGGTTGCGGGGTTTTGTTTATAAATTTCACTGTAGGACCATTTTAGCTATGTCCAATTGAGGAATGCAGCAGATGTGGATGACAGAAGGAATCGAATGTTAAACAGGTTGGTGACTTGGGCCTGCCTACTTGGTGTGGATGGTTGTCAGCTAGGCTTTGTGGGTGTCATGATTAATGATTTGGGAGAATGAAAGGGGTAGCAGGGAAAATGAATAGCAACTCAGTGTGGGGGATGGGGGAAGGGGCAAGAGGGTGTGCCAGCAGCTACCCACAGAGTGGGTGTGCCAGGGGTCTGGGTTTTGGAGCTTGCCGCCATATCACAGCTGCAGACTTAGGAAACATGGAGCCAGGCAGGAGAGGGGAAGTCTCGTGGTGGTTTCCTGTAGTCCCTGATGACCATGTCTCTTCTGTCCCACTGCAGGTACAATACTCAGAAGCTCACTGAGCTCATTTTACAGTTCTATGGCATCAGAGCAGACATGAAGAGGGAATGCAAACATACCAGGATATCTATGAAAGTATTTCTTACCGTTGAAGAACTAGCTGGCTGAGTTGCCGCAAAACAGCCTGTTTAGAACATAGGAAACCAGAAAAGCATCTCACATACACACAAGTCCCCGTCCCTGCCAAAATCATTGTGTTGCTTAGTTTTTCCTTTCCTTCCCTTTCTTCCTTCCTTCTTCTCTCCCTCCCCTCCCTCCTTCCCTCCTCCTGTTTTCCTCCCTCCCTCCCTTTCTTTCTTCTGCCTTCCTCTCCCTCCTTTTCTTCCGCCCATCCTTTGCCATATACTCGAATTGGCTTGGAAGGATTTTGATTTCTGGAATTAGAGGCCCATTTCTGAATATTGCTCAGGACCCAGGAGTGTGGGCCTTAGAATTTCACCCACTCTGACTCCTTAAATAAGAACCAAGATAAAGCAAGATGCCCATGACTCCTGCCTATACTCCTAGTTACTCATGAGACAGATCTGAGGATTGTGGTTTGAAGCCTGGGCAGAACCATGGCCTCTCATCTCCAATTAACTACCAAAGGATTACACTTGTTTTTGTTTTTGTTTTGTTTTTTGTTTTGGGTCCGGTCGTGGGGCCTGAACTCTGGGCCTGGGCACTGTCCCTCAGCTCTTCAGCTCAAGGCTAGTGTTCTACCCACTTGAGCCACAGCGCCACTTCCGGCTTTTTTCTTTTTGCTTATGTGGTGCTGAGGAATCGAACCCAGGGCCTCAGGCAAGGCAAGCGCTCTACCGCTGAGCCACCTTCCCAGCCCCCCAAAGGATTACACTTGGAGCTGTGGCCCAAGTGGTAGAGCACCAGCCTTGGGTAAAAGGGGCAGCACCCAGACCCTGAGTTCAAGCCCCAGGACTGTCACACAAAAAAGAAGCAAGATAACTTTCCTTCCCTGCCCCAAATGCAAGTGAGAATTCAAGTTTTCAGCTAAGCAGGACATAATTTTTGGCAAATCGTATGTTTAGCTTTTATGAGACATGTTGACAGTTGAACCTGTGACCTTCATCAGTGTGGGCATGTCTTCTGCACTGAGTATATATCACTTTGGAAATAAAACATGATACTACCTATAGGCATTTTTTTTTTGGGGGGGGGGTCCGGTCGTGAGGCCTGAACTCTGGGCCTGAGCACTGTCCCTCAGCTCTTCAGCTCAAAGCTAGCACTCTATCACTTGAGCCACAGCGCCACTTCCGGCTTTTTGATTTTGCTTATTTGGTGCTGAGGAATTGAACCCAGGGCCTCAGGCATGCAAGGCAAGCGCTCTACCACTGAGCCACCTTCCCAGCCCCCTATAGGCATTTTTTAAGACAGGAAAGTCGTATTGGTTGGCTGGTACATGCGTGTATTCCTCTATTTGTAGATGGTGGCAAATGCTGAAGCCCCCTTCTCACCCCTCAGTGGGCAGGAGATGGTTCAGGGAGAGTGTGGTCCAGAAGTTGGCCCTAAGATGCTAACACTCCAGGCTTTGCTACAGTAGTCCCTCCCCTTTCTCTTCCCCCTCCCCCTTTCTCCTCTTAGACTTTTGGGTCTGAGGTTGGTTTCCCACCCTACCCCATTCCAAACTCTTCAGCCAGCACTCTTGTTACCTACCAAGGCAAAAGCAAAAATATCCTTTTAAAGTCAGGTGCTTCCTGTGAAATATAAGGTAAAGCGGCCCAATTCACATAGACCAGACCGGAAAGGATGGCTCTGTTTCCAGTGGCTGTTTTGAAATGTGCCTTACCTGTCATTGGGGTGCTCTGTGTTCCTCCCAATGGCTTGCAAAGTCCTCTCCATGATCCCAGGATGACTGAGAGCTCTCAGGGCCTAATTTCTCCTTATGGTGAGCTTTGGGTTATAAAGGGGGCGTCCTTGGGGACTGACTCAGGTGCCGTGAATGTCAAGATGCCCCATCTCTGCAATGGGGCTGGCAGCTTCTGCTGCTCCTCAGCCTAAGATGGCCTGGGGGTAGGGAGGTGGGGGGGAGGCCTCTTTTCCTCCCCCCAGTGCATCATGGGGAGCTCTCCACTCTGCAGGTGGGATGTGGGCGGAGCTGTCCAGTGGTGCAGGGTATGGTCCACTGTCCATCTGTGGACCATGCTGGTAACTGCAGTGTCTGTCTTTCCTTCCTCTCTGCAGGAAGGCCAACCACTCTGGAGAAGCCATGCTGCAGGGGAGCCAGAGCCCGCAGAGTGACTCTCTGACCCAGCTTGTCCAGCAGCCAGATGTGATGTATTTCATTCTCTTCCTCTGGCTCCTGGTTTACTGCCTGCTGCTCTTCCCACAGCTTGATATGAACCGGCTCTGATGTGCGTGTCTGGAGAATAAAAAGACAGGACCCCAAGCAGGGGTGGGGTCTTTTTTTTTAAACTTCATTTTATTTTCTGTTCAGGGTTGTGGACAGTTGAAGCTCTCCCCGTGACCCCCCCCCACACCCATCCCCTGTTGGATCTTGCTTTATCTCCATTTCCTCTTTCTCTTCCCGAAGACTGGGGAGTGTGCTTTCCTTTGTTGGCTATGTACTCTGAACTCAGGTTTGCAACTGGACCCTTAGGTGGGTTTTGCCTCTGTGTGCCTTGCTCAGTTAGACGGTTATCATTCTTATTAATATGCAGTCTATGCTTAGATCTTAGCTCATGAGCCATGTAGTTCTTGAAGGTTCTGGAGGAACCGGAGAGACTTGTGTTTCAGGTGTGGGGGGGGATTCTCCCTGACAAGAAAATGAATGTGGTTACCCATGCCCAGTCCCCATCACTGAGAAAGCTGTCACAGTATCCTCGGAAGCAGGTCTGTGAAGGAGTAGAGGTGGGTAGGGAAGGGATGGGTGGAAAGGGGATGTGCTTAAAGCCCAGCAAGGAGTTGATTATCTGTGGGAAATCCAAATCCCAGCTTTGTGACTCCCAGACAGCATATTTGGGAATTGGCAGGAATTGGTGATTCCAGGGAAGAGCGGGGAGGCTTTGTTGTATGTCACAGATCTTTGTTTTTGTCTTGGGGATGTGGATTGCATATTTAATTCCCTTTTGCTCTGATTGGATTGAGGTAAGGCTCTGATTGTCTAGCCTTTTCTACCGGTGGGATCCTCCTGTCAAATGAAATCTGAGAGGGGTTGGTGCCTGTAATCCTAGCTATTCAGGAGGTGGAGATCTGAGGATCAAGGTTCCAAGCCAGCTGTGGAAAGGAAAGTCGGTTGAGACTTCCAATTAACCTGCAAAACTGGAAGTGGTTTAAGTGGTACAGTGCCAGTTTTGAGTGAAAAAGCTAAGCGACAGTGTCCAGACCCTGAGTTCAATTGCTGGTACTGGCAAACAACAATAATAAAAAATCAGAACTCTGGATGGATAGGGTAGGCCCAAGATACTCTCTCACTTTTCTGAGCTTTCTATGCAGACCTGGAAAGCCCCACAGAGCACTGAGATGAGCCCCTTGAAGAAGGGGCTGGATGAGGAACAAGGTGCTGGTGCTGGAGCTGGGCGGAGTCCACCGGCTGCTGCCCAGGCACTGGGGTCTCAGGATGCCCCTTGGCACCAGCATCCTTTGCAGTGGGTTGTAGTGGATTTCTTACAGAGGCTTTCTGAAAGCATAGCCTGGTGAACAGACCAGAGCAGAAGGTTTCTGAGAGAAGAAAGAAGTATATCTCCCACTCTCCCACCTTCCTCAACCCCAGATCTTTCTTTTTTGGGGGGAGGGGTCTGGTCGTGGGGCCTGAACTCTGGGCCTGGGCGCTGTCCCTCAGCTCTTCAGCTCAAGGCTAGCGCTCTACCACTTGAGCCACAGCGCCACTTCCGGCTTTTTTCTTTTTGCTTATGTGGTGCTGAGGAATCGAACCCAGGGCCTCATACATGCTATACCCTCTTCTCTGTAAAGACTCACATAATAAAGACTGTGGATTGGCTCTTTCCCTCCCCGCTTCCCCAAAGCATGTAGCAGGCAGCCCTTATATACCAATAAACATGAGCAGAGGCTCTGGGAGCATCTTGCTTATAGCATTCCAAAGAGGCAGGATGCCCATGACCCTTCAAGCCATCTGATACCCAGCCCAAAGCTGTCACTTGCTGTGAGAAACATCTTCCACTAGCTGTATGTGCATCCAAAACAGAAACAAAAAGGTTAAAATGACCTCCTCAAACAAAACCAAAAATGTTAGGCTAGCTTTCAACCCCTGGTTCTGGCTTATGTGTGAGGTTTTATAGTTTTGTTTTCCCTCTCCATGCAGAAGTTTTATTTACTTTCAGCCTCTCCTCCTACTCCTTCTGGAATAGCATTGACAGCTGTAGAGCTTATGATTTGACATTTGCATTGTTCTCACTCCTGGACACTATCGCTCCTTCCTAGCAGTAAGCCAAGGCCTTGTTAATTTTGAGCAAACTTAATGGGATTGCAGCCTAGCTAGTGTATTGTCCCTTTAAGCCATTCTGATTCTAGGCTGCCTTCCCCTCCCTGATAAAATCTCAGCCTCCCAAGGCCAGGGAACTTGGAGTGAGTCCATCCCAAACACCAAGGACCCCAGGGAAAATGTGCTAATTGCTGAGCTTGAGGGCAGGACCTGAAGCGCCAGGGTACAGATCATAGAGATTATCCACGTGACACTTTGAAACTCTGGACACGGTGCAATCCTCACCCAAATTAGAGACCAAAGAAGACTTGACCCAAGAGCAGTGCCTTCATTTTACAGGTCTAGACCTTCTCCAAAAAAATTCTGGTGGCCCTCTCTTCTCTATTTTGTATAATTTGTAACACTTTTTAAAACATCTATTGGCAAGGTGCCTAAGAGTCATGTGGTTCAGAAAATGGACTCTTTTTAGAAAAAGTAAGTCTCATTTGAATGCAGGCTTAGCTAGAAGAGACTGGATGTAGAAGAAGGCTGCTTGGGTGAACCCCCCTATTGCTTGGTGTCTTTTTAACACGCATGATGTTAATGAGAACTAGCCAACCCCAAGTCTTACTAAGAAGCAATTCAATACTTCTAGCTGTTTCTTCTATTTCCCATTGTGCTTCTACGTGACATGCTTTTTAATTAGTTTCCAAACATCCACTGGCTTTCTAGTCATAGATGAAGGTACCCTACAGTGAGACCCCAAAACTCAGTCCCTATTCCTTGTGGATGCTGCCTTGAGCATGTCTAAGTCGTGTACTGTTTTCCCCCTTTTTTCTGTCCACATTCTTTAGAAACGTTCTAAGAGGCAGCATTGGATATAAGTAGTAGTATAAATATTTTGAGATTTTTCTTTTGAATGTCTTAAAATGTCTCTCAGGTTGGGTACTATGGTTCAAGCCTATAATCCTAGCATCCTAGGAGGCGGCAGTTAGGAGAACAATTTCAGGACAGTGTGAGCAGAAAAGTTTGGGAGACTTCATCTCAACCCATGGCTGGGCACGGTGCTATGTGCCTATTATCCCAGGGTAAGCATAATGGTAGGTCCCAGTGGCTTGTACATGTCATCCCCAACAACTGTGATCCTCCTATGTATGGAGAGGCACAAATGGGAGGATCGCAGTCCAGGCTGACACAGGCATAAAATATGACCCTACCTAGAAAATAACCAACACAGAAAGGGTCTGACAGAGTAGCTTAAGGTAGTAGAGTCTTGCCTAGCAAGTGAAGGCCTTGGGTTCAATTTCCAGTACCACCAAAAAAAAAAAAAAACAGAAGAAAAGGTCTTCTGCCCTTACCCAGTGTGGCTGAGATAGAAGCAGGTGTAAATTATACTTTCCCCAATGGTGGTGGTGGAGATTTCTGTCACTGTTCAGCGTCCAGTGCCTTTGTGTGTGACCTGGGTTTCTCTCCCTTTCTTGAAAGAACTTCCTGTCTTTACCCTTGGTGGTGTCCTTTGTCTCATGGGAAATTTTTTCTGTTTTCTTGTAATTATTTACATTCTTTCTTGTGGACCACTGTTCCAATGTTGGACTTCTCTGGCTAATCCTCTAATATCTTTTTAAATCTCTTTTTAAATTTCTCATCTCTCTTTATCTGCTTTCAGGAAACTTATTGGGTTATATTTTCCCAATATGAATGTTTTATTTAATCCCCAGAACTGTATCCTGCTGCTGATTCTGGGATTTTCAGGTCTTGCCTCTCTGTGGATGTACTTGAGGGGGGTTTGAAGAAATCACTCCCTGTGTTGTCTTTGTCTCCTCCAGTTTTCATTTCTCTTGGTTGGTCTGAACTCTTTCTTGTTATAAGCTTTTCTCATGTACTGGGTGGTTGTGTGTATCTGTTCATGTTTAAGAGTTAAGACTCAAAGCTAACCAGGAGTGAGGAGGTGTCAGCTAATGAAGTTTTTGGATTTGTCTGTCAACATTTGCACATCTTTTCTCTGGAGTTCCTTCAATTGCTGTGACATCTTTCCATTACTCCTTGCCCTAGAAAAGGGATATGCACTGTTTATGCACTGTCCTTGTGTGATTTCAATAAAACTATTCCTTCTGGGCAGAATCCACTCCTGGGCACTTGGTTTGATTGCCAACTGCCCCCATTCTGGGCACATACATCTGAGACCTCAGGCAAAGCTGGAAGAACAGAGCAGATGCCAGATCTGAACTCCCACATCTTGTCTGGGTGCCTTTGTGCAGCGCACAGACTATATGACAGGACCGGAGACCCTGGTGCAGAATTTTGGCAGCTGGACAGGCCAGTGTCATCACCAGTGCATCCAATCTCTGGTGAGGTAGCTCCTGCCTTGCCGTGTGTGTCGTCTCTGGATTGGAGCTTCTCCATCGTCCTTCATGGAGTAGGGGCAGTGTAGTCATCTGACTTCATAGGAAGGGAAAGAGGCCTGAGAATGGACAAATGCCCATGTTTCTAGCTCTTATCCCACCTTCCCCATCCCTATTCCCAAGTCTGTCTCGGATGCCTCAGCCCGAGATGTCTCAGTGCTGCCCCCTGCAGGCACCTGGCACCAGGCTCCTTCCTACCCTGCTTGACCCTGCTCATTTCTCTGATCAGTTCTGTTCCTGGTACAAATGGAATGGGATTCCTTGCCTGCTGTTGCCTTTTCTCCATCCTCTATCTACGTGGTTGTATAACTTTCATTCCTTTGCTCTTATTTCCACGTGGGTTTGTGACGGCAGTATGGGGTGCTTGGAGCCTCTTGAGTTCTACATACCATCAGATTTTGAAGGATAGGGGTTGAGAATGGGTCTTCCTATGTAGCTCAGAACTGTCTCAAACTCACAAGTGGCCAGGATGGGCTTGAACTTGTGATTCCTCTGCCTTAGGCATCACAGTCCTGGATTTATAGGCATGTTTCACCAATCCCAGCTTTCATAGACCATTGTGTTTGTGGTGTGTGTGTGTGTGTGTGTGTGTGTGTGTGTGCCAGTTCTGAGGCTTGAACTTGGGGCTTAGACACGTTTCACCAATCC